CTTGTTTACCTTCAAGCCTTTAAGACTCCAGATGCTATATCTTTTCATAGCCAGGCACCATCGGCTTTCTTCGCCACATTTGCTTATGCACACATTTGTCTTCAGCGATCGTATCGGGAGGGTGAACATCATGGAATATCTGGCTGTACTTCTAATAAGGCAGATTGATTTGTTCTTTTGGCAGTCTGTGGTACTTTCAGTATTCTTGTCCAGCACCACACTTCAAATGCATTGATTGTTCTTTGGCTGTTGTATTCAATGTCCAACTTACACATACATATGAGGCCACTGAAAATACCATGGCTTGGGTCAGGTGCTCCTTAGTCTTCAAAGTAACATCCTTGCTTTTCAATACTCTAAAGAGGTCTTTTGCAGCAGATTTACCCAACACATTGTTTCTTTTGCTCTCTTGACTATTGTTTCCATGAGATTGATTGAGGAAATCCATGGGGATGGGCCTGGGGGTCCCTCTGAATAAGCATTGACTCACTGGCAGTAAGTGTGAGAATGTGAGAGTTTAGCTTTTCCATGTTGGGACCATTTTCCTGGGATAAATCAGAGTTAACAAGGAGGTAAGATGAGGACAAAAAACCTTTTTGATATGTGCAACTTTCATTCATGTTTTATCTGTGCTAACTACATGTGTAACAAACAATCATATATACCATTTCCACAACCTTTATCTGTACAATTCAGTGATGCTAATTATTTCCATCATCTTTCCCCCTATCAAATGCTTCCATACCCTGAAATGGAAGTTCAACTTCCCCAAAGCTTGAGTATTCCTTTCCCTCTATCTGGTTCCTGATAATCACTGGTAAATTTTGGTCTGTATAAATTTGCCTATTCTAAATATTTCATGTAAGTAGGATTCTATAGTATTTGCCCTTGGGTGTCTGACTTAATCTAGTCAGCATAATGTTTTCAAGACAGTACTGTGTATCAGGAAGTATTTCTCTTTATGGCAGAGTAAGACTCCATTGTATGTCTATACCCCACTTTGTTTACCCATTCATATGATACTGGTTTGTTTTTTATTTTAAAATGCATGTATGTACATGGTTCACATGTGGGTTCTTCTTAATTTCTTATTTTCACTTAGCACAGCAAGTACACACTCAAGAGTTGTTTCTTTGTCTCAGGTTCCTGCTGATGTACTCGACAGTACTGTGCAGCTATTACAACTCTGCTCTGACAACAGCTGTGGTGGGGGCCATCAAAGTAAGTGCATGGAAGTCTCAGAGTGAATAGCAGAATTCAGACAGTTGACTGGACCCAGTATTTATGATCGAAACTGAGTGGGACTTTGTTGTTCTTGTCAGTGCTGTAATAAGTACGGAGACTTGTGATGTGTCATTTGGGTTGGGTGATGCCCCTTCGCTTCTCTTAGTCTTTGAATCAGTGAAGCAGAGGGAAATTTTGCTCATTTAAAAGACGAGAAAAAATTATGACTTTAAATGTAGGGTCAGTGGGAGGATGTGGCCTGAGAAAATGAAGTAAAAAGTTGAAAAGCAAAAATGAACCCGACTATCTCTAATCCTCAAGATACCTTGGGATCTATACTTTAGTTTCCTGGGAGTACCTACTTACTAAGAAAATGAACCCTTGTGAAGAGCCATTTTCAATTTAGGTGCAATTGATTCTTGTTTTTCACAATAGTTATGTTGTCCAACAATGCTGCAAACAGCAAACCGAACCACTGCTGTTTCAGGAAATACAAGTTTGGTTCCTGTGAGCCTCTTTCACAACATTTCAATCACATGATCAATATATAGCCCCCTTTTAAGTTAAAAAAAAATTGTGATTTGAGTGAAAGATTACAGAGCAATTGGTTTCCATTCAATAATCCATACATGTTTGTTTCATGACATTGATTGCTCTCTCCGCAATGCATGTTCCCTCCCCTTGTTACCCTTTTCCATTGGTTTTTCTTTCCTATTCTTCCTGCCTTTTGAACGTGATCTCTGTGCAAATGCTGCCCTTTACGCCAGATATGATTGATTGGTCTAAGAAGTGTGTACCTTCTTGGTATTATTGTTCACCTTATAGGCCTGAATTATTGACTGAAAATTGACCCATGAAAGTGAGTTCATTTCAGCTTGCGGGGTGGGGCAGGGCTATGCTCCACCAGGCTGATACTATTTTGAATTTTGTTCTACATTTTACTGACATTCTGTCCAGGACCTCCTAATGTGGTCCCTTTCAGAGTGGTCAGCAGTGTCAGCTGGCCACCATCTAGTACTTGTGGACTCAAGGGTTGTGAAATTTGGGATTGCTTCCATGAGTTGATTCTGACTCAGTGATCCTAAAGGACGGAGCAGAACGACCCTTTGTGTTTCCAAGGCTATAGATCTTTACAGGGGCAGAAATACTCATCTTTCTCCTGCAGAGCATCAGGTGGATTTGAACTGCTGACCTTGTGATTAGCAGCCTGACATGTAACCCACTACACCACCAGAACTCCTGCAATCGGGAGGTCACAGGGCAAAAAAAGAAAAAAACAAAAAAAAACGACAGTGGGAGGAACACCAGGGTATAATGCAACAGAAGTAAATACTTTCATACACAATCTTGTAATAACAATAACCCGTATGTGGATAAATAGACAGACATACAGGCTGTGCAAATATGAATGAGACTACAACCATGAACACATATATAAGTTAGACAGAGTATATTTCTGCAATCATGTTTACGTGTGCTGAAAATATACCTCTGAATGTAGTAGAACATACAGGGGCAAAGGTGCATAACTTTGTATAACTTCTTAGCCAAAGCCAAACACCTTAAGAGAATGAGTCCATGGGGCTTGGAGCCCAGGACCATAGCTTGGGGCAACATCAAAGTCAACTGGCATAACACAGTCCACAAAGATAATGTCCTACGTTCCATGTTGGTGAGTATTGACTGGGCTCTTACAAGCTGCCATCCTAGGTGTGACTATTGGTTTCTCCCCATCCAGCACAAAGGAAAGTGACATCAGAGACCCAGTGCCCTCTTGACCCCTTATTGTGTATTGCTGTCTCGTTCACCCAAGTGAATACATGGTAACGGTTTAGTGATTTCCTTTCCTTTCCCCCTTTCCTGTGCATCCTTTCCTTGACTTTTAAAGCAGTGCTTATACAGTATTTGCCCTTTTGTTACTGATTGACGTATTTGGCTTAACATAATGCCCTTCAGATTTACCCATGTTACTCATGCTGTGAGGTTTGCAGATTCACTATTAATCTTAACATTTTTGGCATTTCAATGTGTGTGTAAATGTACCATGCTTTGTTTATTCATTCATCTTTCGATGGACATTTGGTTGTTTCCGTAGTTTTGCTATTTTGAATAATGCTGGGTGTGCACATTCATTTCATGCCTCCTATTTCTCTAGGACTTGTAATAATACTGGGATTGCTGGATCATATTTCTATTTTCAACATTTTAAGGAAGCACCATATCATTTTTTGCAGTGGTGGTGCCATTTTGTACTGCAGTGCCTGTGCAGGCGTTCTACCAGCAGTCTGAGGGGTCTAGTGCCTCCCACACCCGTGCCAGCATGGCTGTTTTCTGGTTTAACTTTGCTGTTTGTGCTGGAGTGGGGCGATCCTCAGTGTTGTTTCGATGCGAGGCTCTGTGATGACCAGTTCTTGTAAGCATTTCCTCATGTGTTTTTGCCTCTTGAGTGTCTTTTTCAATGAGGAAAGTATGCTAATGTGTTCTGCTACATTTGTTTATGTTCTTGAGGCATTGACATTTTAAAATACATTTTAGAGATTAGTTCCTTGTTTAGTTTAATATGTCGCTGAACAATTTTTTTCCTGAGTTTGCAGTTTGTCATTTTTAGCTTTTGGTGAAGTCTTTTGATGCACATAGTTAGTAGTGTAAGGAATTCCAGTCATCTAGTTTGCCTTATCTGTGGGTCCAGTTATGTTCCAGAGCATTTTTGCCAAGCATTGGGGTCCCGAAGCTTACTCATATTTTCTTGACGATATTTATAGTTTTAGGTTTTATCTTTAAAACCTGACCATCTCTGGTCCATCTTGAGGTACTTCTTTGCATATAATGAGAGACACAGATCCTGTTTAATTTGTCTGCAAGTGGATATCTAATTTTGTCAGCACCGTTTGTTAAAGAGACAGTCGCTTCCTAATTTAATGGGATTTAGCTTCTTGTCAAAAATCAGCTGTCCATAGTTGGGTGAATTTCCATCTAGGTTATCAATTCTGTACCATTGGCCCATGTGTCTGTTATTGTACAAATGCCAAACTGCTTTGACAACAGTAGCTGTATAGCAGATATTGAGATTGTTAGGTCTTTTTCTTTAGGGGTGCCCTATTCATCTGGGGTCTCTTATCTCTATATACAAAGTTGATGATTTGTTTTCTCATATCTGGACCAGGGTTGCATTATCTGTAGAACACTTTGGGTCGTATTAACATCTTCATAATATTAAATCTTCCACGAGCATTAATGAGCTATCTTTTTGTTTCTTCTAGTACTATTTGGTATCTGCCACATTGTTGGATTCTATTAGCTTGATTTTGTTGAGAATTTTTGCCTTTATGTTTATGAGGGATATTGAGCTATAATTTTATTTTTCAGCAAATCTATAATTTGCTTTTACTGGTTTTGGTATTGGGGTTATACTTAGTTTTAAAAAAATGAGTTTGGGAGTATTTCATCCTTTTCTATGTCCTGGAATTGTCTGAGTATAATTGGCGTCAGCTCTTCTCTGAATGTTTGTTACAATTTGCCAGCGAAGCTGTCTGGGACAGGACATTACTTTGTTGGGACTTAAAAAAAAATCTACTCAATTTTCTTCATCTTTGATGGGTCTGTTCATATTTTCTACCTGAGATTGTGTTCGTTTGAGTAGGTAGTATGTATTTAGAAATTTGTCCACTTCTTCTAGGTTTTCATATTTATTAGATCACAGTTCTTTGTTGTATTCTCTTGTTATTTTTTAAATTGCATTTGGTTCCCGTGTGACATCACCTACCTAACTTCTTCCTTGTGACCTTTGCGCTGGCTGTCTCCAATGTTAAATTTACCGACGGTTTGTCAAGTTTGTTAAGTCTTTCAAGGGACCATCTTCTCGTCTTGCTGATTATCTTTATTATTTTCTGTTTTCAGTTTCATTGATTTCTGGCCACACCTCTGTCGCTTCCTTTCTTCTCATAGTGTTAGTTTTCATTCTTTACCATTCCTTTTCTAACTCTTGGCGATGTTGGAATTAGGTGCTGCTTTGGGTTTTGGTTTTGGTGTGTGCATTTAGTGCTGTACACAGCCCTCTGCTCTTTGCGTTTCCTGTATCCCAAGGGTTTTTGTTGGATTTCATTCTGCCTGTTCTGTCCTTCATCACAAGTGGGGTGTTTACGTCTCCTACTCGGATGCAGGCAAGCAACCTCCTTTTGAAGATGGAGCTGTGGGGTTGCTGGGGTAGAGCGTAACAGGGTGGCATAGGGGAAGGTCAGGCATTGAGTGACTCTAGGTGACCTGGGTGGTTTAGTGTTCAGAACATCACCATATAGGCTTGGATGGACATGGAATTCCTTATGTTGAGTAAAATCAGTCAATCATAAAAGGAAAAATATTGTATGAGACCACTAGGATAAAGAAACAAAAATCGAGATGAAGACTTTCATCCCAAAGAGAACAGACTTTGGAAGTTACCAAGGGAGGAGTAAGCAAGGGAGAGAAGGTAAAGCAGTAGACTACAGCAGCGGTTCTCAACCCATGGGTCACGACCCCTTTGGGGGTCGAATGACCCTTTCGCAGGGGTCCCCCGATTCATAACAGTAGCAAAATGACAGTTATGAAGTAGCAATGAAAATAATTTTATGTTTGGGGGTCACCACAACGTGAGGAACTATATTAAAGGGTCGCAGCATTAAGAAGGTTGAGAACCACTAGACTAGAGGGTTGATAACTATTAACTTGGGTGCACAGGAAATTGTAATCCACAAGAGAAATCAAATGTGGAGGGTGGGGTAGGGTAAACTAACAAGGGTAGTTTAAATTGCTGAATTCAAAATTGATGATCTGAAATGTAAACACTATTGTCCCAGGAGAGATCAATCTGTACCATTTATTAATAATTAAAGCCTATTGACAGATGGCTCAACAGGGGGCTATCACCTTGAAAAACACTCTCAACCCTGAACAAAGAAAACATGGGCCCTTTCTATTTATAATTAAGACGTAGGGCTGGCTTAAAGGGGAGGGGGGAAATG